CCCAACAACGCCCCTTCCTTAAGTGTCTGCTCATATTCAGAGAAATTGGCCACTGTTATAGGTACTACTTGACGACCTGCTACAAGTGACCTTCCAATCTTCAAATCCGCTGGACTGGATGGGTCTTCCACTGCTTCTTCAAGCATTGGGCTTCCATGGGGATGTTCTTTTATCCTTCCCCAAATTATCTTCTCTGACATAGGGGGTATTGTAGTTGATTTAAGTGCTGTGACATGCAGATCAACGGGTGTAGCAACACTTACTGGAGTCTAGCCTTTGTTGTTTCCAATCGTCATTTTATCGAAGTTAACTACACACTTCCTCGGTAGTAGATAGTCCAATCCTAATATGCATTGGTCTTCAATGTCAGCCAAGTATACTTTCTGTCTGTCTTTTATGCCCATCAGCTCGATAGTTAGTGGCGTGATACTAGTCACGTGACCTCGATGTCGTAACAATATGTTCGACCTTAATACTAATAATATTTCGCAAGGTATGGCTAGCTTAGGAGATTTAGATTAGTCTTAAATACATAGAGTAAGGTTACAATGCAAAACAATCTCTATAGTTAAAATATAATATTTAAAATAAAAAATAATTTGACATACTAAACACTATAACAAATACTGTCAATGAAATTAACAATAAATATATATAATGTATTATGCTGTTACGTCTCTGGTCGTTTGTTAATTTCCCTTAGAAATCCTTTCCGAGAAACTTCAGCGATACAAGTCCTTTCTTAATTAAAATTAGTTTATTCTTTCTCGATACAACTTTGCAGTACACAGAATTTCCACAGTCACTTTAAACTTAACTACTTTTATAAACACACGCTATAATTCACAGTGATTCACACACTTTACTTACGATGCCTACTGTTCGCTTGACTCAATTATTTCTTTTCAGTCTATCTCCGGCTTTTATACTAAAATAGAGGGGGTCTAGCAAACGCTGGGACATTCGTGAGGTTGCCCGATAAGTCACAATCATTCTAGAAACTCCAGCGCGCATGCTCCTAGCGTCGCGTGACTATCGCTGTCGTAACAATACTTAGAAAGTAAAGTCACAATACTCGTTAATATGGCAAAGAATTGTTTGTTTGTTATGAATTTCGCGGAAAGCTACACGAGGGCTATCTGCGCTAGCCGACCCTAATTTAGCAGTTTCATCACCACCCACCGTCAACTCTTGGGCTACTCTTTTACCAACGAATAGTGGGATTGACCGTAACATTATAACGCCCCCACGGCTGAAAGAGCGAGCATGTTTGGTGTGACGGAGATTCAAGCGCCCTAACCACCCGGCCATGCCGGGCATGGCAAAGAAAGTCATCATCAAAAAGTATATTAACTATACTAATGACACATTGTCGCGCTATATACAGAACTGTTATATAGCTAATATTAGTTATATGTAATAAGAATTTAAACTAACGTTAGGTAAAACAAATGGTGACCAATATAGTGGAGCTATTCACTATTACCCGAAACAATATACCAAAGAATTAAAGTATAGACGTGTATGTTAGTGTTTTTACATGCAAAATATTCTAGCTAAGGGTATGTCAACAGAGAGGAACGTACATAAAAATATTCCTTTCCTCCATTGAAAATAATGGATCTGTCCTTGGTACCAAGACACACACACACACACACATACCCTCTTTTATGTCTGAAAATCAGACTGTTCTTGCTCAAACAATGGTCCAAATAGTGGCGCTTGTATAAATCTACAATTATGGACAATCAGCTATTCGCCTACCAGATGGAATAGTCATTAGCATGGAATGAGGACTGAAGTAACTCAAGCTAAGTTGCTAGTGTTATAGCCACGATACTATTTCCGAGAATTAACATGCAGCTTTCAGAGCACCTGAAGTTTATATTAGAAGATTGTGCAAAAACATCTGAACTAGACAGAGGGACGAGAAACTGATGAATTGCTCAAGAATATCTTTTATGTCTTTATGGAATTACATAAAATAACATAACATTAAAGGACAGCAAGGGACCTTCTGTTCCATCTGGGCTTTTTATCCACTAAATTAAAAAAAAAAAACTTCAAAGCCAGCCCTTATTATTCAAATATTTATCAAGCTTTCCCATAAATTCCTTTAATTAACTGCATCCACCACACTCAAAGGAAGGCCATTCCAGAGGCGAACCACCTTGTTAGAAAAATATATCTGTCTTTAACTGATGATCATTTATTCCTTGCCAAAATTTATATTTGTGTCTTCTAGTCTTACTATTCTCACCATTAAATATAGCCGAGTTGCGCAATAATAACTAAAACTGGTTACTCCATAAATCAGAGATGTAACTCCAAATCGACCCTAATGATAAAATAATTATGTTGCATGTCTCAACTTAACTGGTGATAAGGAAAAAACTGGAAGTATATATCTAGCTGTTTGCGAAGAATCAGATAAGTGCTGGTGGAAGAGCAGTCTGTCTACCATGCTTCATTCTGTCAATGTGCTGATGGCCATTTTAACTGGAAGCTGACTGGACAAATGGCTATGTTTATAAATCAGTATTGACACAACACTAGTACTATGATAGATAATTGATTAAGCAAGTACTGACTGATTTTTGACAGTATATTTCCGTACATAAGTTGTATCACAACAGCACATTACAAAAAAATACACCTCACCGTGTCCTTAGCACACTAATAGACCCTGTTTACATGTTTATAATCACTATGTCCTACTTTTAACATACGTGAAGTCCATTGTTCT